AAAAATTTACAAGTGCTTATTTATTCCAAATTGCATGAGAAAATCATGTGATTATCTATTAAAAATATACTGTACATGAAAAAATACAAGGTAGCTTCTCATAACTACGCAGAAGAAAAGCGCGTGCATCACGTGCAAAAATAATTTATTCAAATCCTGCAAGTGACATTGACCTTGACATTGACATTGACCAATCATTCTGTCCAATCAGAATGTCTGGTTTGTTTCTTTCTTTGCACTGAATTAACTCTCTTCTGCACTCAATTAACTCTCTTCTGCACTGAATTAACTGAAAACTGCATTCATCTTAACCAATCAGAACTGAGAAATTTTTTCATGTATATTATTAGAGCTAAAATTATGTGCTTTTGCATCAGCACATAATTCCCCCAGCCGAGATTAATTTGAATAGTGTGAAATAAACTTGGACTTTGCTGTTAGTAGCTTCCCTATACGTGAATTTACATATCAGTGGTACAACTGTCCCTAATTCAAGAACTGTATATAAATTTATCTACTGAAGCTGTTTTTCTCATCTTGGATGAAGTTCTGGAACTCTGCAGTATTCACTGAAAGCTTTTTCTGTATTGTCAGAAACCCTGAAAGATTGATTCATCTGATGTGTAATTATGTTGTTGGTTGTAGGTTGTTCTCGGGACAGTGGTGTCCTATTTTGTTGGATTAAATGAAAAATTTCAAGTTTCAGTTCTGCATGACATTCCTAAGGGGTAAGAGCCACTGAAATACAGTCATATGATTGAAGTGTAAATTGTAACTGTGTTAATTATAAACTAACTCTTTACAATAACTTCCCTTGCACATACATGTACTTGTACCCTACACTCTGTAGAATTGAATTAATGTGTTTTGTCTTGCTTACAGTCTTATCATCTCTATCTTTGTCATAGTTCATTTTACTTTGTACATTGTATGTATACCTGAAACAAACAAATAAATGAGAAAAATATCTTGGATTATAGACATGTTTGACACTGATCAATTGATATAATATACTTTCATTCTCACTAATATGTTTTGATACATTTGATACATTTTGAATTATTTTGCAAATTAATGATACCAAAAATGATTTCACCAAAATGTTTAATTACTCACCCAGGTTACGAGTACCATCTGCTCCGTCTTTCATGCTAATGGGCAATATCGTGACAGATGCCATAGTGATCTCCATTGTTATATTTGCTACAAACATATCTTTGGCCAAAACATTTGCCAAGAGGAATAATTATGTAATTGATTCCAATCAGGTTGGTAGATACAAAATGGTGTTTGTTGGTTCATCTGACTTAATCTGATTTGGGGTAATCTTGAAATGTTTTAGTTAACAGATCACTGATACATATTAAGTAAATTTTTGTTTGTTTGCAGGAACTGATTGCTTGTGGATCTGCAAATGTACTTGGTTCCTTTTTTTCTTGTTTCCCTGTGAGTGGTTCACTTTCCAGGTCAGTGATTCAAGAGAGCATTGCAAGAACACAGGTGAGTCGTGAATACAATGTACAATCATTGTAAGTAGAGTTGTAGCTAAGAAATTACCCTGCTGGCTGAAATTTCAAGTGAGATGGCAGAAAGGTGGCGAATGATTGTTAGTGTGTAACCTCAGAAGTGCCCATTGTGCTTTACCAAGCAATCACTGGCCAAAAGTCCAGCCAGTGACTGCCACTTTTTCGTATGGTGAATTTCGCCAGCAGTTGGTGCTTAGGGACAACCTTGTATAGGCCAGTTTTAGAAGCTTAAAATAAATGAATTTGTTATAGCCTTCTTCAGTTTGCCAATTCATTAACTTTCTTGCCTGAGTCGTTTATTCCAATTTAAGTACTAACAAATTAAAAGCTAAACATACAGGGTTACTATGTTTCTATTGTAGTCAGCCATTATTTGGCAATATGTCTTACAAAATACTCCCCCAAAGAAACACTCTATGCAGTTAGGGGACAAGGACATGGTGGATGATAACTTTTGAATTGCTGTCTGTAAAAAGTGATTGGTACATTAGATTTGCTAGAAACTACATGTAACAGACTAAGTGACATATTTCATGTATAGAATTTTTTTTTTTTTGCAGCTCTGCAGCATCCCAGTTGTTGTAGTCATTATCATGGTGTTGCTTTTTATAGCACCTCTTTTCTATCACTTGCCAAAGGTCAGTTTACCCTGCCTGCAGTGCACTCACAGTCTGAAAAATGTGCTCAGATTTGCTCTATTGTAATGCCATGATACTGATTGTGCATTGACTATGATCATGTCAAATTTTAGTTGTTTGTTGCATAATATTATTAGAATGTTGGGTGTTCCTGGTTTCCAAGGTGATGATGCCTGTTACTCTGGGCCTCATCCTCACCAAGCTCCGTGCTGGGTATTTAGTCTTGAGGGAGAGATGGAGGGTGTGAGGAGAGAACAGGGGATAAGAAGAAAAGTCTTAAGAGCATGGACAAGGAATAACAACATACATGTACAGTCATGTGATGGCACTGGAATTTAGAATCAAACCCAGGTCACAGCTTTGGAAGCACAAGCCTTCTCACTGCTGAGACACCTTTGCTTACATCCTCCTGTGTCCCTCTCTACCCTCACTTGACACTTTGTGGAAAATGTTGTAGAATACTAAACAATTTGTTTTTCTTTTCTTTGTTGTTTTCTCACTTGGCAGGCGATACTGGCTGCTGTAGTAGTTGTTGCACTAAAGGGGTTGTTTCGACAGTTTAGCAGACTGGTACAGTTGTGGAGAATGTGTAAGCCTGATGCTGTAAGTTTACTGAAATCCTTGTTGTTCTTTAAAAATGATGAAGATTAAAATATTTCTGAGTATTGTAATTGTCATTCTTCATTTTAATCATTATCATCGTATGACCAACATTACTGTTATAATAATTGTAAAATAAATATAGTTTTTCTTTTAATTTCAATTTTTAATGAGATTGTTAATAATTACTCTTTGATTTTTAATTAATAGATGACAATTAATAATTAATTTAATGATAAATATGATTTTTCAATAATTGATATTCAGTTATTCTCAGCGTTCATGTTTGTAGGTGTACTGTTAACTTTTGCAAATTTAAGCAGTAAAACAGATCTTCAAGTATACAATTAACTGTTTCATAGTCATGAAGATGGTTGCTTTCTCTCAATAATTGTCTCCCTTTAGGTTGTTTGGTTTGCTGCTTGGTTAGGAGTGGTACTGCTTGGTATTGACATTGGATTAGGAGTTGGTGTCATCATGGCATTGTTAGTGGTAATCTGGAAGTCATCCAGGTCAGAATAACTAATAATATTAATAATAGTAATATTAATATTATAATATTAATAATATTATAATATAATTATTATAATATTATTATAATACTAATAATATTCTAATAACCCAGAATAACTAACTTTTGTTACTTGACTGTGTACAAAAGCCAATAATAATAATAACCTTTATTTTAAGAGGGTGACACCAATTACTTTTGAAAGTATTCTCCCTAGTGGCCCTCTACTATTCCCACCCACCCCACCCCAGGGGAGGACATCCATCACACAGTAATCTCGTGTGCGGGAAATTAACGTCTCCTACCCCAACCCTGCAGGAGACAGGACCTCTATTTATTCATCCCTATCTGAGAAGACTAGAATGTCTAACCAATAGCACACAATACCCAGAAATCACCTTCATTTGTTAATATGTGAATAAAGGGGGTGTAATTTTCTAAAAAAAAAAATGTGGCACTGCATCGTGAATAGTTGTTATTCACTTGACTCTGATGATGACTTCCGCACAGGTTGTCAAAACATCAGTCACCACCATCAGCAAAAGTCCTTCTCAAGACTACACTTACCCGGACGATCACACTACACTTTCACAAGATAATTTTGTTTTATCAACTGAGTTGACGATGTTAATTGACTACCATAAAGAGTTTGTAAAGCTGACGTCTCGATTTGCTCTGACAGTTGGCTAACACTCAAAAGGGTCAGCCGAAGAAACTCTATATAGTGGCCAATTTTGAGGAGCAGGGATGACGCAGTGGTGAGAGCACTTGCCTCCCACCACTGTGGCCCGGGTTCGATTCCTGGACCTGGCATCACATGTGGGTTGAGTTTGTTGTTGGTTCTCGTCCTTGCTCCGAGGGTTTTTCTCCAGGTCTTCCGGTTTTCCTCCCTCTGCAAAAAAAAAAAAAACAGCATTCCAAATTCCAATTCGATCTGGAAACAGTGGACAAGAGGAGCCACCCAGTGGAATGTCCATTGCTAAATTATTTATTTATTTATTATTTATTATTGACATTATCAGTTATTCAAGCAACTTTGTACGTACCCCTCCCCTAACCCAAAATTTCCCCTAATTTTGTGAGGTATAGTTTAGATTTTCAGCTTACCCAGTGGTGGGCGTTCCATTCTTTCCATGACTGAAAAGTTTTAAGTTAGTCATAATTCATTGCATTGTTTTTGTTTTTGTTTCATGTTTTTTCTTTTTTTAATTTCCAGACCTCCTGCTTCCCTTCTTGGTCAGATACCCAACACTGGAATTTACAGAGACATCCAAAGGATACCTTCAGTAAGTTGGAGACTGACTGCTGTACAGTTGAATTTGTGTGTTTTTCGAGGGGTAGGGGGTGGGAGATAAACATGGAGTCGTAAAGTGAAAATTTTTCAGGGAAGTCTGTTTTTCCACTCATCAGGTTAGATGGGGTCCAAGAGATTTATTGTTAAGTGATTATTGACTTTCATGTTTATTTCCGCAGGCACAGCCAATTCCTGGAATAAAAATTTTCAGATTTGAGTCTGCTATGTTTTACGCCAATTCAGAATACTTTCGGAGCACTTTGATAGAAATGACTGGAGTTGATCCACAGAATCCAAACAAACGCAGCCGCCTCGGTAGCTCAGCAGTGCGCTATAGACACCGTGAGGAGGATACTGGGGGCCCGGCAATAGAAATAACAAGGACTGTTGCTGTTTCAATAAACAGGGCTGTGGAGAATGGGGTAGAGTTTTAGTGATCTTTACATACACATAATATGCATACTTTATATGTATGGTTTTCCGCTGGCTGAGGGACGAAAGAAGCGGAAAACGTTTTTCTCACACGCAGCTGGGAGAATGGGTTCGAGTGTGTGGGGTGTCTCCAGGTCACATGGCATTTCAAGGTTCATTTGTTTTGTTGCCTTCTGCCATTGCCGGACCTTCCCCACCCACCCACCTACCCGCCATATGTTTTTGGGGATATAGGATTTCAAGTAGTGCCTTAGTTCCAGTTATTCGTGCATGTCAATCTTTTGTATCTAGGCTCATTTTCGGCTGTTTTGTTAGTGTTGTAACCCTAATGGTTCATTGTGTTGATATAATAAAGGTCGGGCTGCATGGTAGGCTTGGCATGGCTCCCAGTTGTGTGTGAGAACAGGGTTTTATTGCTGAGTTTGTCTGAGTGGTGTTTAAACCCAGCATCAGTATCTGTGTTCTCCATACTGATACGATGAATGTAAGAAGTTTATATATTTTGAACTGCGGTTATAGATACGTAAGATGCACGATCCTCGCAGTAGAGAGCGCTATTTATGCAATAGCGAAAATCAGACCTGAAAAAAAAAATATAAATAAAAGTTGGCTTGTTGGCTCAATTGGTAGAGCGCTGCACTAGTATCGCAGCGGTCAAGTGGTTCGAATCCCGTACAGGCCTGATTTTTTTCAGGTCTGATTTTCGCTATTGCATAAATAGCGGTCTCTACTGCGAGGATCGTGCATCATACGTATCAATAACCGCAGTTCAAAATATATGAACTTCATATATTCATCATATCTGATTTATCATCATGGGTTTATTACGAATCAACTTAACGGCCTGCTCCCAGTTGGCTTGTTAGCTCAATTGGTAGAGCGCTGCACTAGTATCGCAGAGGTCAGTGGTTCGAATCCCGTACAGGCCTGATTTTTTTTCAGGTCTGATTTTCGCTATTGCGTAAATAGCGCTCTCTACTGCGAGGATCGTGCATCATACGTATTCTCCATACTCTTCTCCGTACATTTCTTTTGGTACTGGGAAGGAGAATTTGTCTACCAATTAAAGTTCTCTTGGTTGTCAATCATTTCCTGTATTCTCACGATCTTAATGAATGACTCAGCTGTGTTGCTGTTAGGTTAAACTTTAGATGCTGGTCATATTTAGGGTTTAAAGGGTTCACCCAGAACCAAAATAATGACAATCAGGAGTCAGAGAAAAGAGAGAAATTCTGAGGAGTCAATGGGAACTCAAAGGAAAAACCAGAGAATTTTATGTGAGAAAAGTACTTGGGGGGGGGGGGAGGGGTGTTAAAGTTAACCCTGTACTCCCTAACATTGGTATTTCTATTCTCCTCACCATTCTCTTCTCATTTTCTATGGTGCTAACAAGGAGAATTTGTTTGTCAATCAGAGCTTTTATAGTGGTGATCTTTTCGTTTATTCTCATGACCTTTACATTTGGTCTAAGGGTGATTTTGTAAGGAGAAATCAGAAGCCAGACACTTAGGGGTTAAAGAGTGGATTGATGAAGGGGGCAAGTTTCTAAAGAAACTGTGGGCTGTATGTGGTTTTATTGATGAAGTTTGTAATGTAAATTTGCCACCGTAGAGGGTTTCTCAAGCTAATGTTTATCGGCGTTAGCCCCTCTTCATTCGCTGGGAGGAAGAGCAAAAATTATGAGAATTGTTTGACAGGCACTGGCGGAAAATATTGATATTTAAATCTACAGAATGTTATCTTTAATCATATTTTTTTCATTTTCAGGATGTGGAGGTTTCGCTTAATGATCTTGGTAATCAGCGGAGTCCCTCAGGATACGATCCAATCCCTACTCATGCCATCATAATTGACGCTAGCACTTTCAATTTTATTGACACCCAAGGTGTGAACACTCTGTTGCAGGTAGGAAATTGTTGTTGAGGATGTTGTTCCATTGTGGTTACATGGAAAAATGAACGTTCAATCGTTTGTCTCATGAGGTGGGAAGTTGTTGTCACAGCATTTGTGACCTTGGGCGCAATTGTTCCAAGGCCGATTAGCGCTAAGGTAATTTGGTAGTATCAACTAAGTTGAAAATGTAAATTGACCACCGTGAAGAGTGAAAAAGCTGACGTTTCGAGCGTTAGCCCTTCGTCAGAGCGAATGACGAAGGCTAACGCTCGAAACGTCAGCTTTTTAACTCTTCACGGTGGCCAACTTACAATTTCAACTTAGCTGAAATTACCAAATTACCTTGTTACCCCCACCGACGTAGCACCACAGTTTCTTTGGAAACTTACCCCCTTTATTCGATTAGCGCTAGCCCAAGGTTAAATTTGAATCCGGGTTTATTCCTTGTTCAGAAGCCTGTTTGGTGTAATTTTACCTTATTACTTTTAGAGCATTCAACCATCAACTTATCCTTAAAAAGAATGCTATTGAAGTTTCCTTAAAGTTTTCAGATCTGAAATCAGATTTCACACAAACCCTGGGTTATCTTAACTCTGATTTGAACAGCCCGGCCCTGGCCTTAAGTGTTCGTTGTTGGCTTTGAACAAGTGGTGGGTTTGTTTGCAAGGGTAACTAACTGCCTCCCGGTTAGCTCAATGGATAGAGCGCTGGACTGTTGTGCGGGAGGTCGAGGGTTCGAGCCCCGGCCGGACCAACACTCAGGGTCTTAAAATAATTGAGAAGAATTTGCTACCTTTCTATAACATTAGGAAATGGTTAGATATTCTAGTCTTCTCGGATAGGGACGAATAAATGGAGGTCCCGTCTCCTGCAGGGTTGGGGTAGGAGACGTTAATTTCCCACACACGAGATTACGGTGTGATGGATGTCACACAGTTAGGTTAACGAACCTTTGAACAACCCGGTCCTGGGTGGTTAGAGCCTTTAAAAGTAAATTGCCTTTTCCAGGAACACAACAAAAGACCCAGCCAGGACTGTACTCTTCGTCACTATTTGATGCGAAACCAATTATGTTTTCCTTTTCATTTCAGCTTGGTGTAGAATATGAAAAGATTGGAGTAAAATTCTATTTGGCGCACTGTCGATGTAAGTTGTTGTTAAGAATTACTTACTGTTCACAATTTTTGTCAATTCCGTTATTATGTGGCCGAAAAATAAAAAAGAAAGAAAAGCAGGCAAATTTTCAAACTAATTTTCGAAAAAGTATGGAAATTTAGAGCTACTCTCAGCTTCTACAGATGCTTGTTTCGAAGGTGAGATCTTTATCAGGAAGTTGTAACTGACGTAAATTCCCAGCATTACATTGTTTCGCGATGATAGGCCGGAGAAGTTCCGATTTTGGGAGCAAACCCTTGACAGCTATTATTCCGCTGAGGCCTCGGTGAATTTTGTATAAACCTTGGGCGTAGAATAGTGAAAAGTGAAACGAAGAAATATGTAAAGAAGTCTTGAATTTTATAAAAGTGGCGGGAAAATGTATGTCTTTGTGTTATTTGTTATAGATCACATACGAGAAATGTTAGAGAAAGCTGGCTTTACAGCAAGAATAGGAACAGAACATTTGTTTGTGTCTGTACATGACGCAGTGACACACGCTGTTGGAATTCACTCTGAGGTGAGGTTAGGGATTTGAATTTAACCCTTTCACGCGAAAGATCTCATTGGTAATTCTCTTTACTTTCTACAATACAATTCTTGTGATGTTAGTTCGAGGTATTAGGTATTGGATCAACTAATAATCCCCTAATATACACTTTTCTTAATTCTCATCACTCGTCTGCTTGATTTTGTATTAATAATTCGAGGAGAAACTCTGTCTTGGTCACTCACGAGAGTAAAAAGGTCAGAAAAAGAGTATCATGATGTTTTGTGCTCTCCTCTTTGACTGCGAGGGTCCCAAATTCCTGTATATAATGGTGGCTTTAAATAATCTTCCATGTATTTTACCAGAATAGCTCTCCTTAAGTTTTTGTGCGAATGTTTCCTATTTCGAAAAGTTGAGTGTAATACCTCTGTAAATGTAATGCAAAACGTCAATAAAGGGTGAGTCTATGGTGCATTATGCTCTAAGACTTCTTTCCTTTGTTTGTGTTTTTGTTTTTGTTTTTGTGGCTGTAGGATGCTTCCTATTCGTCTCCTGTGATGAGCGACACTGAATCAGCATTGGGGGCTGGACCTTCTAATCAACAGGTTTGTAAAACGTATTTTAAATAAGTAAATAAATTAAATTTTTAAAATCAAATTGTAGCCTAGTGTCTCATTTCTGCTGAAAGTTCTCCAGGTTTTATCAGGGTGAAGTAATTCTAGCTTGCTGGACCAGCGTCAGTTTCTCCCGTTTTTTTATTTTCAGGAGTGTGGAGACAAGTGCGAGGTGAGTGCAAGGCGTGGGGTGGACTCCATTGAATCAATAGCTCTTGATTGATAAATTTTTGTTTCCTTTGGTCATGACATATGTGCGTATGCACGTATGTGCGTATGTGCGTATGTGCGTAGGGTACATGCGTGCGCGGGAACATGCCTACGCACCAAAGGAAACAAATTAGAAATCAAGAGCTATCAATCCAGTGGAGTCCGCCCCACGCCTAGCACTCGCCTCGCACTTGCGTGCGGACGTGCGTACCTACGTGTGTGCGTGTGCGCGCACGTGCATGCACACGCACGTGCCTAAGTGCATGCCCACGTGCGTTTTTGCCGAAAAGGGCCGCTAAATTTTCGAAGTGAACAAACTGCGAAACATGATACCTCGAGTTATTCAACAGAACGATAGAACGGGGAGAACGGTGGATCGGCGGATCGACTCCCAATACAAAAGTCTCATAAAATGGATTTGCAATAAAATGAAAAAATTGTGTCCAGTTAACAGGCGAAATTAAAAGAAGCATCTTAGATAATCATTGTTGGAGCCCAGGGAAACTATGAGGGAACCATGAGGCGTTCGAGCCAATCCCTTTGAATTGTTATTGTGTTATTATTGTTATCATTATAGTCATTGTAAATATTATCATGTGAGACTAATATTTTGCAACACTACCTCATTATAAAAACCTTCAGTTCTTTTCAATGCTACAAAAGTTTTGCTATACTCGTAGCCACATGCAGTCTTTGTCTGTTTATTTCTTTTTTCTTTCGTCAGGTAGAAGAATGAATTACACTCGACGATTTGAAATGACTTGTGAAGCTAATCGAAGAACATAAGAAATCCCACACAAGGGATTTTAACTCATTTACTATTTTGCAACATGTAGATACCCAGAAGACGATTTCAATCATAACAAACGAAGAGTGTCCGATTTTTATTTCTCAGAATATTTCCAGTGAAATGAATGAATTTGCCATCTAGCTGAGATATCAAAACCTCTCACATAAGACGGTTTTTTTTTTTCCTGAGTTTAAAGTTCTACTCATTTTACGAGATATATTCTTTTTTCACATTTTCACTCGCGTGGTAAGCAGTCATATGAATTTATTGAAACAAAAGCTCGAAAATTTAGCTCCAGCGGGTTTATAATTTCGCTTGAACTCGGACGTTGATTTAAAAGGAAAATGGAAGGTTTGCACACAGGATAGAACCAGTCAATTATAACTAGGAGTGACTGGCTTCTAATTTCTCCATACAGTGTCACCCTTGAATCAAAGATAAAGCTCATGAGAATAAAGGAAATGATCACTAATTTTAGAAGCTGCTGATCATCAAACAAATTCCCTTTGTCAGTAGCACAGGAAATGTGAAAGAAATACTGTAGAGAATTTGAAAACTAATGTTAGGGTGAAGCGTTGAGAGAGAAAAGTGCAAGGACTATTAGGACGAAACCACCGTGTGCATAGCCTTGGGTAGATAGCGCACTGTGTTAACCCGGACACCCTAACATCAGTATGTAATTTCTCCCAACTGTTCTCCTTACATTTTCTCTGGTACTTTTAAGGAGAATTTATCCTGCAATCAAGAGCTTCTTGGAGATCCTGATTCATATCTTTCATTATCATGACTTTCATGTTTGATTCAATGGGTGATACTGCTGGCAGAAATCAGATGCGTATCACTTTTATAACCAACGTAAAGCGCGCGCTCTGATTGGTTAATGCAGCGTCCACCGTTTGCCCATGGGTGTGCGCTGCTGACGTGAGCAAATGCACGGATTGGTTTTTCGTGCGCGCTTGTTTATTCTGGTCACGTAAGATTTGTTACATAAAAGAAAACTCTTTTGCTACAATATATCAATGTTATGTTGTAAAACAGATGGTAAATGCCACAGTGTACACTATTGAGTTATGGATGCACTTGGGAGGTCTGCTAAGCACTCAAGATGCTAGAGTTGCTCTCGGCTATCGCCTCGTGTGATTTTAAGCTCATAAATAATTAGTCCCCCTACAGTAATACTGCATAATCACCCATTAAGATCATGTGAAAAAACCAAGTGATCGCCGATCAAAGAAGCTTTGACTGTTAAACAAATTCTCCTTGTCTGTGCCGAAGGAAATGGAGAAGAATATGGAAAATATGGATACTGATGTAAATGGCTCAAGGCAAAGTGAGAATTCATGTGAAAAAGTATCAACCATGTTTCTGCTTGGCGATACCGTCTCCTACGTTGAGCCTTGGAGTCTCGCACTATTTCTTAGAAATTGTAGTTTAACAAAATCAATATGAAAATAAGGAAAATTTCACAAGACTTGCAAAGGAAAATGACATGTTGATATATTTTTATTTCTGAGAGTGTAATTTGAAAGTGTAAATCTCGCACCCTGAATGAAAATAATCATTTTTATTAAAAATATTACAGTACTCTCTGAATCCTCGTATGTCAAGACCTACACGCAGGCACGAGATCAGGATTAAGGGCGAGAAGTCCCGGCACCAATTTACCTTCTCGTGAAAACCTTTGTTCCTGCGACACAACAAGTCGCACAAAATTAAACAAAATGGTTGTAATAATGGGCGTCTGATCACAATGAGCAAATGAGTTGTAGCAATTTGACCTAGAAGCAACACGTAACACCGTCACTGCTTATCCTTGATAAATCCCCCGGAGATTTCAGTTGTAAACAGATGGCATCTTTTTTTCCTTGATCGTTCTTCTGTTTTGTTTTGTTTTTCAAATGTGAAGTCGTCTCCCAGGTTACTTTTTACAGTTCACTTCAAAGCGTTGTCTCTACGCACACTCGATCTTTCCACATGATTTTTTTTTGTGATGAAAAATTTTCTCAATCGTCACACAAGCTCACACTGCAGCCGATTGCAAATGTTGGAAATATAATTAAAGACGAACAGAGACTTTCCACCCAGCTGATGTTGTGGCGTTCGGAGGAGGTTAAACGCCCTCAGAACTTCCATAATTTGCTCCTTTGTACGGAGGAGGTGGTTCATCAGCCGTTGTTGTTCCGGTGCTGTAAGAAGGTGGAGGAAAGACCCTTTGTCGCTCTTCATACAAAGGTGGAGGGTTAGGTGTTTCTTCTTTCTCGTGGTAAGACGGCGGTACCCCTCCCTTATGGGGTGGTCTTGGTTCGATTTCATAAGAATTCTCTCCGGCAGCTAAGACATTGGAGAAGTTTTGATGTCCCAACCTGTCGTAAGGAGCCCTTCTCTTGAGAAAGCGAATAAACCAGCCGGTGGCAATTAAAAAGCAGATCAAAATGAACGCTCCAACTACCAATCCAAAGTCTGTACCATTTGGGGTACGGGGCGGGTAACACTCCGAACGCTGACAAGATTTATCACAGCATATTTCTTTGTGAGAACAGTCGGAGTCCAATGTGCAGGAGTTTGGAGGACAACGTCCTGTACTGTTCCGCGACTTCCGACAGCGTCCGGTAGAGACAGATTCCTGAACACACAAAGCGAATATTATCACCCAACTTATAGGCAGCAACGCAACTTGTACCCTCATTTTTATGAACGAAAACTTCTGCACAAGTTGGCTCTCTGGTGTTTAATGCGTTTACAGTACGACGAAATCCGAAATGCCTTATGGCATCGAGTGAAGAGTGGTTTGTTTGTCACATTATCCCTAGCACGGAAAGATCACATGATTTCCAAATGGGAAGTCAAAAGTTCTGAGTTGATGATGAAATATACAATGATCTTAAATATTGCGCAGCCAAATAAGTAAGGTGGCAAATTTCTCCATCTTTTAATTTCTAAATGACACGATTTCGGGCTCTTCTACTCTAGTTGTATTATGGACTATGCAGTACAGGCCTGTCACTTTAGAGAGTGGCACCGCACGAAATTACTTATTCGTTAAGACACGCGTGATCTTTTAACATGCCACGTGTTTTAAAACGTGCCATGTTAAAAGGTCGGTTTATGTCTTCATTTCTTAAAGCAACTAACTCATAATTTAGGGTTTTCGAATTTCGCAGCTTGAATCGTAAAGACTATTTTTAGCATCTTATCTCCCCGCTAACTATAAGACCTTACTCGACTCTTTTGTAAGCCAACCCGTGTAGCAGACCTCATATAATATACTTAATTAAAACAGAACTAACTTTGTACCATCCTGAAGATTACATAAACAAATTTTGAGACGATACTTAATCATGGTTTATTGTATCTTGTTATGTAACGTAGTTGTTGTGAATTGCTATGTCGTGTAAGAGAGTAACCGGCCAAACCTTTCCACAATTGATAAAGAGGAAATCAAAATTCTTGGCTCATCCTCGGTGTAAAAACCTGTGAAGCTCACGAGTGACGTAAAAAGTAGACAACAAAACATTATAAACAATAGCGTACAGCAAAACAATACCTCATGAAACAAAGAAAATCTCGTCAGGTTTTTACACCGAGGATGACCAAAATTCTTGCCCATGCCTGCCTGGCTGGACAAATTGTATGTTGACACTGGACTGGACTACACTAGACTGGACTGGACTGTATTGAATTGATTAAACACTGAATAGTGAAAGATGGAATAAAAACCAGGTTTAGCAAAATGCAGAGTATTGAAACGTGGACAAGGCAAGGGAAAATGCAATGAATCATTTACTCAAAAAAAATTACCCTTTTTGCTTCGGCTGGCTCGCCTCTCACTTTTTCTAAAAAACATTTTGACAGTCTCTTTTCTCACCTTTGCCTTTGGAGACAGAACCATCAGGGTATCATTCCTCTTTAATTACAGGTAGCTATATTTTCTTCCTTGACTTTTACTCCATTTTAACTCTGAGTGTGTTGTTTTCACCCTAATCATTCTCAGATTAATCAAGGACAATTCGGATAAATTATTCTTCATCTCGATAAGTTTTTATTTTTAATTCTTTTCCTTACTTTTTTCTTTATTATTACTTTTTCCTTCTACATCAATGACGATATTGAGATGTCACTGGAACATTTAGTCAAGTGATGTTTTTGACCAACTTCAAGGCTTTGCAATGTAAATGTTGATCGTTGTTCAGTGCTAGCTGCATCATAGATATGGACAAGCAGGTAAAAAGTATCACCTCTGCAAGAACATGGCTACAAATACATTCTACATGGGAGAACATGATAACCAGAAAAATGTGGGCTCAGAAAGAGACAGAAGGTAAGGATAAATAGTTTTGATAGAAATTGAGAGCCACCCAAAAAATATTGACACTATTCTAAAAACAATTAGCTTAATATTTCTGTTTAATCCTTCTCTGGATTGGCAGACAACCAATTACTCTACTAAAAACCCCCACCAGCCAGAGTATGCATTTGACTGCATGAGCCAGAAACTATCAGTCCTACAGATTGAAGTAGCAAACCCATTACATAGGTAAAGGTAAAGCCTGCTTAAGAGCTAAGCCGCCTATCGGGCTGGCAGTTAACTCTGGTTTAGATAGCATGAATCAACTGGGAGTATTTCTACTCCCCCCTGACTGAATGGAATGCTGGTCCATCGCAGGGTTACCCCCCAGCATTAAATTTTCTGGTACCCATTTAAACACCTGGGTGAAGAGAGGCACTGTGAAAGTGAAGTATCTTGCCCAAGAACACAACATTATGTCCCTGGCCAGGGCTCGAACCAGGACCACTCGATCAGGAGTTGAGTGCACTAACCATGAGGCTACACGCCTCCAGAAAACCCATTACATAAAATGAGATCAAGTCCTTGCAATCTGGACAATTTTAATACTCTGGGCAGCATTACTTGCTAAAACTCTGAAAGATTGATTTTGGAATTAAAATTGATTTTAGCCTACATCATGGTTAGCATTTTTTAGCCTGTTCCAAGTTCTCAGTAAAAAGAAACATGCAAAGCCACATGCAAAAAGAGTAGGCTAGAAAAAGTGTCGACTGTTTGTCAGGGAAATGGCTTACACTCCAGTTTATTTTTTCAGTGAACACCACTTGTTACATATACATTTTTCACTCTTCGATGCTGAATGAGAACCAAGGAAAAGCTAGTATGTAATATATTAATAACATTCACAGCGACTTCAGTTAAAACCCTACGAAAGTGCATCTGCCATATTTAAAAAAAGAAAAGGGTACATAAACTTAACCCTCAGCAAATGAAAATGATTTTCAAGTTTAAGGTTTTAGCATTTTCAAACAATTCCACTGAACAAATACACTTACTAGTTAGCCAACTACTTAGAACTTAGTTAAATACATTCCAATCTCCAAACCTAAAATATTCATAAGTACATCTACAACTTTATCAAGTAAGATTCAACTTATTGAAATCAATTCAAATAAAAAGAAAAATGCTTCTCTTCTTCCACATACTCGTATTTTAAATTCAGTTTTATGATGGTACTACCAGTGCCATGGTCCACAGACTCAACATACTCTTAAAGTAAAACAATAAAAACACTAATGTGGCCTTAAATTACAGTAAAAAATATTTTAGAAGTCCGAGCTTTCACCACTCAATGGCTTCATCAGGGATGGATAAGATTAAAGTAACTACCAATTTAGTCACCTTACATTATCATTGCAGAATCAGATGTTAATCAAGCTTGAATCAATCTATAACAACAGTTTCAGATAATTCAAGCGTTTACGTCCCTAAAGACATGTTAAAGACTGTAGAGTCACAATTGCTGTTTCATAAATTCTATAACCAGGTTGAAGTACATGTACCACAATTCATTGCCCTTACACAGGTGGTGCTGATGCTACTGCACCATATGAAGGTTTGGGAGTGTAAACTCTCCCTGCTGTTCCCTGTGGTTCTCCTGTATAAGGGGGAGGTTGTCCACTTGGTCCAGGGATGTAGGGTGGAGGCCTGTTTGTCTGATGTGGTTCATACTGTGGAGGGGGGTAGTGTTGGTA